CAGTTTGTATTAAATTATGTAATATAATATTTCATGAAATCATTCCCCATATTCAAATGATACACAGTTAAAAATATAAATTTATTAACGATAAAAATAGTATGTACCATTTAAAAAATGGATCGGTGCCCTGGGTCTGACACCCCAAAATCCTATCCGGATCGATGAATAGACGTTTCGGATTGATAATCGGCCGAATCGGTTGGTTCGCCCTTAAAAAAATTCAAAAAAATTATTAAAAATCATTATAAATGTTGTTTTTCAGTAATCCAATAAGAAATGATAGTACTACATTAATAAATTTTATATTATTTACATCAATATATAAATATTAAGATGCTCTTTTCCTGTATGAAGATTCTCATCAAATATTTATTAAAACCTAACTAAATACAATGTTATACATTGAAATTAAAGTTATTGGTTTGTATTTTATTATTTTATCATCATTTTACTATACAAATAAGAATAAATTCAAAATTTGTCTTATAATATCATCTAATTTACAACTATAACAAAAATAATACATTGCATAATTTATAATATAAATAAATTAATAAATAAAATATAAGATTTGATTATCATTGTAATTAGTATAATTATTAATTTTAATATTATAATAAACGTGATTAAAAAAAAAAGAAGGTATGACCATCACAAATAAATAAATTTAAAGTATAATAATTAGTGTTGATAGAAATATAGAATTTAATAACATAAATTTGCAATCATATTTTAATAAAATTAGAAAAATAAAAAAATAAATTCATATTTGCAATGTGGGATAATTGATACAGCAACTTGAAATAAATTCTAGAGAAATTATTAGAAATATATCTTTTACCTAATTGAAAAAAATTTCATCTGCACTTTTTTTTTCTTAAATTGCATCTACACCTTTTTTTCTCTAATTTTTTTTTTTTTTTTACCAAAATAGCTTTTACGGTAGCCGTATTACTGAAATGACTACCGCATTATATTACTTAAAGTACCATAATGATAGAGCCTTCACAGTAATACCACTATCGTGAAGGCTATTTTGATAAAAAAAAAAAACCAAAATTGAGAAAAAAAGGTGTGGACGAGGTTCATGAATGTTTAGGTTTTTTTTCCAATTAGACAAAAATTAAGGTTTATTTCTAATAATTTTCCTAAATTCTAATGTGGTATGAGCTAGTGTTATTTTTCTCTTTTAAAATATCTCATAAACTAGTATTTTTTTTTAATATTCAATAAACTAGCATTAGTATTATATTTTGCTTTTTTAAATATCCTATGTGGTACAACAATTTCATATAATTATGTTAATTTTTGTAAATTATTATATAGAATTTTATTATTGTAATTATATATAATTAAATATTAATTATATGTACTTTATGTTTATATATTATATAAAAAATAAATATAATTAATTTTAAAAATGATTAAATCTTAAAAATAAATAAATAAAATTAATCTTAAAAAGAATTATAGACCATTTAATTTATAATGTACGATGATCAAGTGGCTCATCCCTCTTATTGATGGCTACCTAATAGTATTAATGTCTATGCTCATTCAATGCAACAACGCCATTTTTTAAGTTGGGCTATGAGAATTGTCTCACATCTGGCATATAAAATGAGTTGCAACAACATCAATACCGATTAGTTGCTTGAGAGTAGGGAAGGAACACCGGGCGAGGGTTTCTCTCACACAAGTAAATGGCACGTGGGAATTTATAGGAATTTTTTAATAAAAAAATGTTGGACGTGCCAAACCAACTATATGTGACATAAGTATGGCGATTGGACGAACGACGATTTATTAGTCGAATCTCGTTTTTTTGGATCAAGATGGCTTGGGCGATACCCGATCCAGATTGTTTGATTCTGGATCGAATCACCGATTTTTCAAACACACAGGTGCTCTATATTAGAGTCAAAATATCAAAAAATCATTATGCATGGAAACCTTTTTAACTTTCACATCCCTATTAGGATTTCGTACCAATTTCAAGTAAGTGGCATAATTTTTTTCAAATTAAACTGTTATTTTTGTATACCGAATGTTACTATCGGAAAACCTTTTTACCTTGATCAAAATGAGATGGCTTGAAATATTGTTAGAGCGGTCATCCACATGAGAACTTCTAGAAATAAAGGTCAATTAAATTAAAGGGTGTGGTTTTAATAAGGTTGCAACCTTAAACAATTCATTTAAGACGCACCTTCAAATTTTATCATAACATATAGTTTTGATGTAAAATGTTTTTAAGATTATCTCAAAATTTATTTTTAATTCTAATTATAAATTTTAAACTCCAAAAGTGAAAAAAATCAAGTAGGTTTATAAACGTATCAAAATCTTGAAAATTAACGGTCTAGATAATATATTATATGATACACTATTTATAGGATTCAAAATCTCTTTTTTTTTTTCATAGTCATACATCTCAATGTCAAGATGATCAATTAGAAGGCTTTTCAAAATTAAAAAAACTTTTATCAATGGATTTTTGAGGTGCAACGGTAGTTCTGCATTTTAAGGTTGCAACCTTATATAAACTTTTTCTAAATTTTAAGGTTGACACGATAGAGTAAATATCCAATGTGTACTCGCGGGAACATATGTTTTTCTGACAATGTCAAAACTCTCTCAACCCATGCATTTCTTGTTCTGTAAAGGCCAGGGAAACTTCCAATTGTAAGACAGACTGGTTGAACTCAAGCGCTTCTCTCCCTTCTTTCTCTCTCTTCGCCCCTGGTTCTGACCCCTGCCAGCGGTTTCAAAGCCCCCTCCCTTGTCTCTCTCTTCTCTCTCTCCTCGTACAACAATTTTATGCATTTGTCCTTCTCTTTCAATCCATGGTCTGAGACGGCATGACGAAACCCAACAAGCTTCTTGATAGCCTCCTCAAACCCTTCAAGTCCCACAAAAAAGGTAGGAACGAAACCCTACTGTTTACATTCTTTCCATATTCTGATCTAAATGCTTCCTCTTTGCTAATTTTGTTCATCCTAACCCTGTAATTTCAAACATTTCTGGTCGCTTTTTTATAAACCTATGTGCTGTTTCGTTTCAATTATAGGATCACCGAATTCTGTGTGTAAATTTCCAGTTTAGTGTACAATTATCCGTTTCTATCTGGAAAAAAAGGTTGATTTATAGCAGTATGTTCCTTTGATTAAGGGCCTGAATTCTAGGGTTTTTCTCTGGAAAGTTGGGTACCACTTGTTTTGAGCTTAAATTAAGAGATGGGTTTGTTGATTCAGGTATAGAAAACGAGAAAAAAGATGATTTGGAGGCAATTGCTGCACAAGAGCAGAAGGTCTTTTCATTTGAAGCTTTGGCATCAGCCACACGGTATTTCCACCCTGAAAATAAGCTTGGTGAGGGTGGATTTGGCCCTGTATACAAGGTAAGAAAGCCCTATTTCTTTGCCTCTTTCTTCTGCAAATCCATGGCAATAAAACCCAAATTCTCCTCTGCTTCTGCGAATTCATGCTCAATGGATGAACTTTTATTGGAAAGTGTATCCATAGTATCGTACACCGGATGAGTATGGTAGACAAATACTATATAAAGGATGGTTATAGTACGATTGTTCACGGGCGGTGCATTCTTGATGAAGGGTGGATCGCAGGGAACTGATGGCTATCTCCGTCGTCCGTCTTGACAAGGAACGGTGGAGGGTGTTCTCCTCTCACTCGTTTCGGGAAGGACCAAGACCCCCCGCCTCCTTTAATTGGAATGACTGAAACACCCTTAAGTGTTTTGTTAAATAACTAAAATACTTTCGCTAATTTAATTACGGTGGAGGGTGTGCTCCTCTCCCTCATTTTGGGAAGGACCAAGACTCCCCGCCTCCTTTAATTGGAATGACTGAAACACCCTTACGTGTTTTGTTAAATAACTAAAATACCTTCGCTAATTTAATTAAGGATGATGTTAGAGTACACATATATGTGAGGATTTACTAAATTTACTCAACATTTTTTGACATTAACTTGTTTTGTAGTACAATTTTTTTTTTGAAGAAAGTTATTTTCCCTCCTTAGGAGGGGTAGGATAGATATTTATGCAAGAATTTAGTGGTATTTAATGTTTCATGTGGTGATGTCTAACTCATGTAGATAATGTCTTTCTCCACTATAAGTAATAACAGTTCTTTCTATCATGAATTTCTATTTTGCTCTTGATTAATTACCTAAAATACCTGTAGACAAAAAATTATTATATTATAGGGCAAGGGTATTAAGTGTAAAAAAATGTTGAGTATATTTAATAAATGCTCATATGTATGTTTGCCTTAATATAATCCTTTAATTAATAGCTGAAACTTCCCAACATGTTTTGGTATGTCACTATTGCTTCCCATTATAGTATTATTACTTGTATTATGGAAGTAAGGTGCACATCAAAAAAAGAGACTAGGAAAGAGTGTTTTGAAGTTGGAGAACTTCCAAATGATTACCTCAAACTCGTGATGTATGGATAGAAAGAAAAAAGAAATTTAAGTCCTCAAAATAGTGCATCTTGTAACAAGTTATTTGGATTGTATATTTTCAAGATTTTCAAGTGGTTTTAGATCTGCCCAATCTACACCTTTTTGAAATTTGAAAAAAATTTATAATTAGGGTTGAACATGGTTTTTCAAACCATCGTAAGATCTACGACACTAGAACTTCATCTTCCAGCAAAATTTAGAGATGTGCCTTACTTGTGTAGTATAAAGTGAGCACCTTACACAAACCTCACCCAATTATACTTTTCGCAATTGGATTTGCTAGAATTGCTCGTTCTTTGTCTTCGTTGATGAATGTGAATAAAGAAAAGAAGTATGACAATAACCTTCCCATTTTAAAGAATGGAAAAAATGAAACTCAAGATGTTGTCTTGGCATGTGGTAAAAATGAAGTATGACAATAACCTTCCTTTGTATTAGTTGTTGTCATATTTTTACTCCTTTTCATGTTGACTTGGCATGTGGTAAAAATGAAACTCAAGATGTCAACAGCGTGGCAACTGCCACTCTGACCACTTTTGCCTAACTTGAATAGTTTTTGGTCATTCTCTTTCCATTTTATGGGTTATAACTTAGAGAAGGGTGTGGTTTCTATAAGGTTGCAACCTTAAACAATCCAATTAAGGCACATCTCCAAATTTTATCATAACATGTAATTTTGGTGAAAAATGTTCTTAGGATTATCTCAAAATCTATTTTCATAATTAGTTATAAAATTTTAAACTTCAAGAATGGTTAAAATCAAGTAGATCTATAAACATATGAAAATCTTGAAAATGGGCTTTCTAGATAATGTATTGTAAGATGAACTATTTATGGGACTCAAAATCTCTTTCTATTCCATAGACATTGCGATGTCGGGATGATCAATTAGAGGTTTTTTCAACATACATTTTAAGGTTGTAACCTTATATAAACTTTTTCCTTTAGAGAAACCTTTGACACTTCATTCATTATCTTTTTTGTGTACATTTTCTTTGGGGTAGTTGAAAATTGGTAGTTTAAAATTGACAAATACATTTTTACAAATATTTGTCAAGAAAATACGGTCTTTGGGGTGGGTAACATTTGAGCTCGACAAATACATTTTTATGTACCTTGTATCCTCACATTTGGATTGCATCTGTTTCCAGCTGTGTATGATTTAGCTCTTCTTTAGCTGTCTCTGGACTTTGTATTGCCCATGTTTTCCTTAGTGTTATTTGAACCAATTCTTGAATTCATGAGGTGACAGTCCAGTCGGACTAATTGGTTCTTGTGTTCACCAATAAGAGTGTTTGTATCATTTTGAGAAATATGTTCATTGAATTATTATAAAACATAGTTACATACATAAGGGCACACAATATGTACCCAAAATTTATGTATCCAACTTCAATTGTTTTTATAAAAGAAATGAAATGTGAAAGAAAATGTTGCTGCGCAGTGGCCAATCCTAAGCACTGCACCTGTTTCATAGAAATAGTTAAAACACAACAATGTTGGAAATCAAAGAAGTGTAAGGAAAATCAAGATCTAGGGAGGGAGAGAAGGTTGGAAAGATAGATGAGAGTGACGGAGAGAGAGTCACATGAGGAAGAAAAGAGAAAATAGTGTCACAGTGGTGTCCTACCAGAAACCCACAGACCACTTAAATCATTTATTTTAATGATAAAAACATGAAGTACAAATATGCCCCTTAAGAAAGGAAAATGACAATAATGTCCTCAGGGACTTAAATACAAGAAGAAATAAGTAAAAACTGGATTATTTGGAACACTCCACCACAGGTTGGTGCATAGATATCTGTCGTGCCCAGGTTGCTAAAATCATTTATAGTTGATGTTTCTTCAGAACCTTGGTAAGAATTTCTTCTAGTTGGTCTTTTGTTTTAACCTATGGAAGACAAATTTCCTTGGTAGCAACCTTTTCTCGAATGAAATGACTATCCACTTCTATGTGCTTCGTTTGGTCATACTGGACCAGATTATGGGCTATACTGATAGCAGCGTTGTTGTCACAGTACAAGGACATTGACCTTTATTATTCTTAGGAGGCACTGAGGCAGAGACGAGCAGAACAATCCTTTAGATGTGTAAGCTGCGTGAAACTGAGAAATTGGACCCTAGCTAACTCAAACTCCGGGTTCAATGCAACCAAAGATTCAAATATATGATTTTGTTTCATAAACTCCTTGTATTTATCCCCATCTTGTATATAGGTTGGTTTAAACATTTGATAGTGTTCTAATTCCTCGAATTAAAGAAAAATATGCTGCTAGAGACTGCTTCCCTGTTGAAGATGAAATATCTCATCTCAACTGGTACACACAGGATACATTCTTGCTTTCAAAGTCTGGTTGATGTACTGATTACCAGGTTTCTTTTGCAGCTGAAAAAATGGGAAACCATTACTATTGATGTATCCCAACTTCCCTTTGCCACCAATAAACAATTTGGAAGACTGAGTATTGGTAGTGCTATGGATATCCATGTGGGAGTTTACACTCTATGAGTATTGGTAGTGCTAGAAAAATGCTCTGAATCATTGATGTTTGACATATCAGTCACTACGTAACCAAAACATAGCTGATTACCACAAAGAGCTAAAACAACCTTGCTAATTACCACAAACAGGTACTTGATTTTACTCCACCCGAAGATCCAAGACCATACAAGAGATCTCGAAAAAATAGGAGTCTTGCAACTCATGACAGGGTTGCGATGTAGTAAAGGGATCCGACAAACCACTTTTGAAACATAAAAAAGACTACGAACCAGTTTTGGAGTTTGTAGTTCGACATCACAAACTCGACATGACAAAACTACACTAGAGGAGTATCCTTGAAAAATAGGGTTTGAAAATTACGGTTTGATGCACTGCTTCAATTTTCCAGATCTGAATTTTCAATCCTGATAGGAAGCATCCATGGAAATTAGGGCTTGATGCACGGCTTCAATTTTTCAGATCTGAGTTTTCTTTTCGATCCACACAAACCAGATGGGTTTGGCCACCGTCAATTTTCAAATATGGTTTCTCGAACCATGCATCACAGAGAAAAGTCACAGAAAGAAGGGAATGTAGTAGTTAGGGTTTTTGTGTCCATACCTATTTTTACATATTTAGGGTTTCTGACCCATACGGTCGATCATATCATTCGGGTTGAAGCCAACTGCTTTGATACCAAATTAAGAGACAAAAATATTGGAAATCAAATAAGTGTAAGAAAGATCAAGATCTAGGAAGAGAAAGAAGGTTGGAGACAGATGAGGGAGAGGGGAGAGAGTCACATGAAGAAGAAAAGAGAAAATAGAGTCACAATAGTGTCCTACCAGGCACCCATGCCCCACTTAAATCATTTATTTTAATAATTAAAACATGAAGCACAAAAATGCCCCTTAAGAAAGGGAAATGGCAAAAATGGCCTCATGGGCTTAAATACAAGAACAAATAGAAAAACACGATTATTCATAACAGAAATCACAAATTACAATATTTTTTTCTAATACTTTTAAGAAATGGAGCGTTAAAAAAAAATGAACTAATTAAATTCTGAGAGTTGTGTATCACAATGAAAATACCTTAGTAAAGATTCAGTCTCTTCAATTAAGTCCAAGCCACGTGAAATCAACCTTCTTTATGTGATATTGCTGTATCCACCCAATTTATGTGAAATGATCTTATTCAGCAGTGTTTTGCTGTCAGGAGCAGGGGATAGAGTCAAAAATTGTTGTGCATGATATGTACTACTCCATCATAGTTCCTCTCCTTGTTTCGTAAATCATCCCAGCTCGTGTGCATTCTTGTTTAGGTTCATGGTTGCCTTGGGATGTTCAATTTAATTAAGTGTATCGTTGTGGTTGTTTTTGCTGTTCGTTGTGGACATTGCAAAGCAAAAACTACGAATAGAAAGTTATCTATTATAGTTGCTTTTAGCTATTAAGACTCAGCGGTGGACCAAGTATTTTGGAAATGAGAGAGTGCTTGCTCCGCCATTATTTCTTCTCTTTCTAGTACTTACTATGATGTTTTCTTTTTTGTCCTGGTAATTTTTTCTTTAGTTTCAATATACTTGTTCATTATTTGGTAACGGTAGTTACCTTATAATCTTTATTATTGATTATTCTATGTAGTGTACCATACCCTGTGTTATATCCATGTTCACAGAAAAATTTGTACAACTGTATTGAGCATATAGAGCATTTCAGTAATTTGCTGTATATGCTCTCAAGACTTCTTTTTCTATTGAGAGGGATAATTCTTCAGTGACGTATGGTAGTTTCTTTGTATAGTATCCTCTGAATTTTAAATAAATTCTCTTCTTTGGAAGAAAATAAGCTGGCAGCTTCTCGTATCTTTAGAAATAAGCTGGCAGCTTCTTTCTTGTTTTTTTTCTTATCATATTCTTTGATATGGTAAGTTATGCATATATAATAAACATTATTAGAGGGAATGGGGTTGAGGTCGTGGTGGTAGCACTATTTGAGCCTCAGCTACCGGTCTAGGTCTCCATTCCCATTTACGCATTCAAAAACCGCTAATTATTTCTAAAAAGGGGTAGGGGCCTGTATTCCCCCACTGATATACCCGAAAAAAAAGAATCATTATTAGAAAATTATTTTCACCACATTTATTCTTGGCATGTGGTCAGCCCACCTAAAAACAACTTGTCTCTATGTTAATAGATGATGGATTTTTTCAAAATTTGTGGTGCAGGGGAAGTTGGATGATGGAAGGGAGATTGCAGTGAAGAAACTGTCAAAGAGTTCTCGTCAGGGGAAGCGAGAATTTGTGAATGAAGCTAGACTACTCTCAAGGGTGCAGCATCGTAATGTGGTCGGCCTAATTGGCTATTGCGCCGATGAAGGGGAGAAGCTTCTCATCTACGAGTACCATCCAAACCAAAGCCTCGATAAGATACTCTTTCGTAAGCTCTCGATAAGATACTCTTTCGTAAGCTCTTTTCCATCTTAATTGACTTTTTCAATCTTTTTATACGTTCTTCGGTACTCTAATTTTTTATACAAGATACAAAACCTTGAGATATCCATATACATAAGATAATGGATTTTAATCTTTGGGCACAAAGTGGGTAGTCCATAGTTGTTAGGAACGGGATCGGGAGTGAGGGATTGTGAAATGCTAGAAGTTCTCTATGGATGGGAACACCGTCCATACAATGCACATGTTAGGGATCGAGATCCCCAAATGTTAGGGATCGAGATTCCAACCTTTTGGGGATCTTGATCCCGACCTTTTTGCATCTTGATCCCAACTTTTTGGAAATCTTGTTACCAACCTTAAAGTGTATGATGATCAAGGATTATGTATACTCTTTAAAGTAGGGATCTTATTATTTATAACAAGTAAGCAAAGTTTGTGTTGCTAGTTGGCTATAAACAAAAAAAATCATCAGTTTGGTTGTTGTCTTAGTATTTAAGGTTGGGATGGAGATATCTAACAACAAGAATCGAGATCCTTTTCTGTGCGGTATGAGATCCCAAAATTTAAAATTCGAGATCCCGTAGAGATTTGTTTTGGGAGCGATAGAATCGAGATTCTAGAAGGGATCGCCTACCAAAGTAGGAGATCCAGGTAACTATGGGTAGTCTGCCCGACCACCTACAGTAACATGGTTGAACCTTGAAACATAGTTTGGTGGTCTACCTGACCACCTACAACAACATGTTTGAGCCCTTCAAAAACAAGAAAATTTGATTGGAGCTTAGGTAGTGCTCAGAATCAATTTCTCCTAGAAGATTGACTCTAAACACTCCATTTGAGTGAAGATAGATAGAGAGAGAAGTATACAATAAGACCATTTATATTTGGTACATAGAGGTCATACTTAATTTTGACCATTGGATGTGAAATTGGGTGGCTGTATTTTTTCCATTGACCATGCTCGATGTTTAAAAAAGAAATTTTTTGAATTTTGTGATACACCCAAGCTATTGAATTTCACATAGGATGGTTATAGGTGATTGTGATCTCCTTGTACCAAAGGTAAATGATCTTATTATATATATATAT